GTCGTTTTTGATAATATGTTGAATTGTGTGACTATCTCATTTAAGAGCTTAAGCTATTTGAGAGAATATACTTTTAATTACTTAATTATGTCTTCAATGACGTTGCAAAAAAAGTTACTTTTGATTTTCATTTATTCTGTATGATGGTTACAGACCATTGTGCTGGGTGGAACACATGTCATTGGACAATGAATCTGGGTTGGATCCTCCAGGTATTAGGCTTAGGCCAGTTGCTGGACTTGTTGCTGCTGATTACTTTGCACCAGGATATTTTGTCTGGGCAGTTTTGATTGCTAATTTGGCGTGAATAGGATATGAGGAGAAAACAATGTATATGGCTGCATATGACTGGAGGCTTTCATTTCAGAATACTGAGGTATAACTTGCACTCTAGTTGGGGTGTTGTTTCCTTAATCAGTTGTAATGATAATGCTCGATTCATTTCATCTCACAGGTGCGCGACCAAACACTAAGTCACATAAAAAGCAAAATAGAACTGATGGTCGCAACTAATCGGGGAAATAAGGCAGTCATTGTTCCACATTCTATGGGGGCTATATACTTTCTGCATTTTATGAAATGGGTGGAGACACCGGCTCCAATGGGTGGTGGGGGTGGTCCTGTTTGGTGCGCCAAGCAGAGACGGATCCAGAATTTAAATCTTATGGGTTTAATTTTAAGATTTTTAACATTGAACCCATTATATTTTTAAAGTTATGGGTTTATATCTACTATTTTTGCAATTTTAATGAATTTTTACATATAAATTTTTACTCCGCGTTAAAATTTATGGGTTCAGTTGAACCCGTAACTAGTAGGCTGCATCCGCCTCTGGCGCCAAGCATATTAAAGCAGTGATGAATATTGGGGGGCCATTTCTAGGTGTTCCCAAAGCACTAGCTTCACTTTTCTCAGCAGAAGCACGGGATATTGTTGTTGCCAGGTAAACTTGGTTCCTGTGAATGCTGCTAATAGAGCTAAATCATTTCTTGGTTTCTAGAAGTAGTGTAATGCATCAAATTTCTGTTGATGTTGGGAGTTTTCTTGTTTTTCATGCTTTCGTCTTGTGTTCTGAAACCTTACCAGCTCTTCTTAGCTAAAATTAATAGGTTGAGTAGTAACTGCAGTTGAACATGTGACATACATCCTTATTTCCTTTTTCCTCAACTTTTCAGTATGAATACCTGATGTTCCGCAAGATACTATTTGATAGCTTTTTATGCTTTAAAACTAAATGCTATATGCAAAATGATTTTTAAGTAAGCAGTCACAGAAACTAAAAGTCCTGAAGTGCTTTTGCATGTAATATGTCCCTTCTTCCTTTGTAGTTCTCCTTGTTTGTTAGTAATCCACCTTATATTTCAGGGCTATAGCACCGGCTGTTATAGACAAGGATTTATTTCGTATTCAAACGCTACCGCACTTAATGAAGATGCTGCGGACATGGGATTCAACCATGTCTATGATACCAAAAGGAGGAGAGACGATTTGGGGTGGTATTGACTGGTCACCGGAAGAAGGCTATTCTCCTTGCAAAAGAAAGCTAAGAGACAACATTAATCAGATATCAAGCCGTAATGACAATCAAACTATAGAATCTAAAGGGAAATATGTTAACTATGGAAGGATGATAGCATTTGGAAAGGATGCAGCACAGAAACATTCCTCAGATCTTAAGAGGATCGACTTCAGAGTAATGCTAATCAGAACTCCAACTGCTCCTTATTTTTTGTTCTATACATATTTCCATGCTTTCTTCTATTTGTTTCAACTTTGAGTCTATTGTGGGTTATTTGAAGATTATGGATGACAGTTTTAAGGAAACTTTGCAAATTAGAACTTTTAAGGCTCAACATAAACATGAAAGAGCACCAATAGACTTATTATATGTATAAAAAATTAGCGCTTTAACAGGAAGTTCTTGTTCTGGTTCATTTATGATTTCTGATTTTTATGCTTGAGAAAGACATTTGTGAGGTATAGCTTTGGTAGAGCTGTCACTTAACATTACATTTCTGATTTGGGATTTGCCAAAGATGATTTGTATACGCACATGGGACGCATCATGCATGGTTTCCTATCTTAAAACCAGAGCAGATGTGCTTGGTGTTATGTAGGTATAGGATATAATAGTTTCCACCTTCACCCTTTATTTTCTATGGTAACTTTTCTGGAAATGTTTTAAGTCTGCAAACATCAAGGGCAATGCTAGAAATTTTGATCCTTATACAGCAAAGAAAAACAAATAAAACTAATAACTGCATAGCGGCCTTAATACCTGGTAATTACAAGCTTTGCGAAATTATCTCTTTCCCACTCACTTGTTGTTGCCTGGAAGTAGCTAGCGTTTTTTTACATGCAGGGTGCAGTGAAGGGCACTAATGTTACAAATAACACATGCGATGTGTGGACCGAATACTATGACATGGGTGTTGCTGGCATCAAAGCAGTGGAAGAATACAAGGTTTATACAGCTGGAGATATTTTGGATTTGCTCAACTTTGTTGCCCCAAAATTGATGGCTCGCGGAGATGCTCAATTTTCATATGGGATAGCTGAAGATTTGGATGATAATTTTTCACACTACAAATACTGGTCAAATCCATTGGAAACAAAGTGAGCACTTCCACTTGCACTTGTGTCTCCATATTATTTTAGTTCATAGTCTTTGTACAGAGGATGCCTCTTGTTACTTGATATTTCATAGGTAGAAAATGGTTCTTCATTTTCTTTTACTTGGTGGAAAAGAGATCTTTCCTCGTCTAATCTCTTTTCCCTCGACATTTATGTTATAAAAGGAAGTAGCCTCGACCTTTCATGTTTACCTTACTAACCCTGCAGGTTACCAAATGCTCCTGACATGGAGATTTATTCAATGTATGGAGTCGGCATTCCAACTGAAAGAGCATATGTTTACAAGCAGACACCAATAGCACAATGTCATATTCCATTCCAAATTGATACTTCAACTGATGAAGGGAATGAAGGTTGCTTGAAGAATGGTGTTTTCACTGTTGATGGCGATGAGACGGTACCTATTTTAAGTGCAGGCTTCATGTGTGCAAAAGGATGGCGCGGGAAAACTAGGTTTAATCCTTCAGGGATCAAAACTAATTTAAGGGAATATGATCATGCTCCTCCTGCTAATCTTCTTGAGGGTCGTGGTACTCAGAGTGGTGCACATGTTGATATAATGGGAAATTTTGCTTTGATTGAAGATATTATGAGAGTTGCAGCTGGTGCTACTGGCAAAGACTTGGGAGGTGATAGAGTTCACTCAGATATCTTTAAATGGTCTGAGAAGATCAATTTACGTCTTTAGGGGAACTTTAATTGCGCTGCTTTCTCTTATATGGTGACTTAACTCAGCGGTTAGAGTATCACTTTCATATTTAAGTCATAGTGATGGTGATCATTCTTTTTGTTTTGAGGTTCGTCGTGTCAAAATGCTTGCTTCAGCTATAATCATGAATTGATATGTTGCTGATACGCATTCATCTGGAAGCCACATGAACCCTTCCTGTCAATTATATCACTTGAAAAGATACTCCTATGCTTTATAGAATCATTGGAGACTCTGGAACTACTGCTGACGATTGGAGATTGCTTTTGCTTATTTGATTAAGTTTTCGGATAGAACGCGGGATGCGTCGTGCATCGCGTAGTGTAGTTTGTCAAAGTTGAAACTTGTTACCCTAATCAGGAACAGGGAAATAGACCACTAGTAGGGATAGAGTTCATATTGTACCATCATAGCTTTTCAAAAGTTTGGCATTTTAAATTTATTGTAACATGAACTTGTGGAATACCTGCTCCCAGTTTTTTAGTGATGGCTTTTGTTCCTTATTTTCGATAGCGATCAATTTCTTGGCTTGCTTAGTTTATTTGAAAGATGAAAAAGTACTAATTGAAGGGAAGCCTTGACGTAACTAGCAAAATTGCTGTTATGTGATCAGGAGGTCACCGGTTCGAGGTGTGAAAACAGTCTCCTGCAGAAATGCAGGATAAGACTACGTACAATAGACCCTTGTGGTCCGGCTCTTCCCTAGATCCCGCGCATAACGTGAGCTTAGTGTACTGGGCTGCCCTTTTTCTTTTTTGTCAGGGAGATCTGAACCTCGGTGTGGCATCAACATTAATCTAGTTATTGCACAGTTGCAACAATGGTACTAATCATGTAGTAATTTGTTTTCTTGGTCTTATTTATTTGGTTTATTTACATGTTTAGTATAAAGAAATTACAAGTAAAAAGCTGGAAGGAAAGAAATGGAAAAGGAAATGCCTAGTAAAAGATACTTGGAAGGAAGGATGTAGGTCTGACATATAGGTGTGGGAATCAAATGGTTGTGTTTGACTTCTAAAAGGCTGGATTCTTTGCCAATAGGCATTATTAAAAAGAAAAGTTAACTCAACTACTTAAACTAAAAATAGTCGGTTAATATATAATATATGTATAATTTATGTATTATATATGTATAATTGTGTATAATTAATGTACATGGCCAGAAAAAGTAAACAATTAATATGGCCGGCTATATATGTAAAAATCACAAATTAATGTAGTTTTTAATATATCATGCCATTTAAAAAATAATTAAAAATAACTAGCTAAACATAATAAGTGGATTAGTAGTCTAAAAAATAAATCAAATAACCTTCTATAACAAATTAAACTTTAAAGATTAGTGTAAAGTTTCATTACACAGTTAACTTATATTTACAAGAAAATAAAATAAAAAGGAATATCGTTTACACTTATATTGTCGTTTTAGTAAAATCTTAATTAGAAAAGTTATTTTAGTTTACTTATTACTAATGCTTATATTGTTTATTTTTTATTCTGTCTCCTATAAAATAATATATAAATTTTTGCATAACATAAAAATAAAATACAAATGATGTATAAACAATAGTAAATTTTGTGTTTAGTCCTGCCAGTCAGTCTTTATTGTATTTTATCTAAACATTGTAAATTGTAAATTAGTAAAACGGAAAAATACAGAAGATCTTTAGGGGGAGGCATCATAATGTACTCCGTGTAAGAGAAGAACCCATTTTTGCAATTTGGGCAATTTCAGTTTTCTCGGTGGCGGTAGACGCGGTGTGACTTCTTCAGCCTTTCCAATTCCGTTGACATAAAACGGCGTCGTTTCTAATCAAATTTAATTCTCTTTGCTAGGATCGCAACATTCTCTCTCTCCCCATCTCTCTTTGTAAGTCTCGTCTTCCTTATCTACATCTGTATTAATGGATCACCTAGTTTGGATCGCACAAGAAAATGGGTCTAGGGTTTAGAATTGAGCTCAGAAAAAAGTTGCTTTTTTTACTTCAGATTTTGTAAAGTAGCTACAAAAGCTATGATTTTCAATCGAGTAGGTAATTTTGGATTAGCTCTTATTGCGTTGATTACTTGTTTGGAAAATTGGGCGCTTTAGAGAACATTTTGTATGGATTATGCTGTTTATTCTTGCTAATTAGCTCTTATTGTTGTTGTATGTTAACTAGCAATTGTGAGCTTGTAGACTCCAGTTATCACTTGGTATGATTATGTATAGCACAGTAAAAGAAAGAAAGAAATAAAGAGCTAAAAGATACTGAATGCAGGTTGGATAGAAGACTTTAGCTTGAGTTTTCACTGAATGGAAAATAGATTCATTGGCAAGTTGGTCTGTCAATATTTTTGAAGTCGGGCTTCCCTTTTCTGGGAAGTGTTCTAAGTTCTGATCTGTATTGCACGTTCATCACTGTTCCTTTGTACTTCTATTACTTCAATATTTGACTGGAAAAGTTCATCATTTAAAAGCTTAAGAGCGATTGAGGTTTTAGTTAAGTTCATAATTGTTCCTTCACCAAGTCTCTGATCTAATGATCTTGAGCTTATCAATGAAATCCCTGCTCAATTATAGGAAGAAAGCACTCTGACCTTGAGCTTAAGTTCATTTACCTCCTCTAAATCAAGTATAGAAATGCTAATAAAGTACTGTTTCGAAAAGAAAGTATATAGATGATAGAGGTAATGTTTTTTCACAAATTTCTTAGAACAATCTGCTACGGTTTTAGTGAGTTAAACTTTTATTGCCTTGTTAATTTGAATCTCATTGGACATATATGTTATTTTTTTAAAGATGGAACATATAAGTCATTTTAGCTTAGTGTCAAGTTAAGAATGATACTTTATTCCTTTTTTCTTTTGATCAAGTAAGCAGTAATTCTATTAATACCGGGGAAAAACTCCCGTACACAAGAAGTATACAAAAGATGGAGAACCTATAAGTATAAATGGTTCTCTACAAAAGACATCCATCCTTCAATACATATAGGAACAACACTGGTGCACTAAAAAGATATTAAAGATAAACGACTATTCTTCAAACGTTCAAAATCATGCTCAATTCCTTTAAAAGATCTGCTATTTCTCTCTATCCACACCATCCACCTTAAAGCTAACCGACATGGTCCATACTAACCCAGACCATCTCAGAATCTCCTACCATAGTCATGATGCTATCTGGCAATGCAATAGAAGGTGGTCCACATCTTCTCCCAAATCTTTGCACATGACACACCTACTAACATAGGAGATCCCCCTCTTCTTCGAGTTTTTGGTAGTCAAAATCACTCCTCTAGCCACCAACTATACAAAAAAACACACCTTTCTTGGCGCCTTGAGAATCCAACTGATAATATATTCTATTTATGATAATTGATATATCAAGTTAGAAAAATGCACCCAAATATTTACCAATCCTGTAATTCTAAAGCTACTTATACATAAATACATATACGTGTGTGTGTGTGTGTGTGTGTATTCCGTTTGGTCTATCTTAAGCATCAGAAGTGAGGCTGGGTTTTGCTTCTGCACCCAAGGGTGTGGTCTGACCCAGCGGTCAATGAGATGAAACATTGGAGAGGGTGTTTCTGCCCATTTGCCTAAGTCTTGGGTGGCAGAGCTACCATGTGTTTGTGCTGGTGGGAGATAACATGCATTTGTGGGAATATCAATCTAAGCCAGACACCACCATTTAAAAATAAAATATGGGGGTTACAGTCTGGAACTAACACTTCTTTTGTGCTATTTTATGTGATATAATTTGGCTTTCAGGTCAAGCTAATCAAATGTTGAATTTAATGTGCTGTCGGTTGAACTTGAATAATGGAAAATTACAGTAAAAATTATTTTGAAGGTGATGATTATATTGTAAGCATTTTTGTCAAATATGGAAAGATAGTGATGAAATAAAAAGGTTTGACAGTCATAAGTCGAACTCTGCCAAATAAGTTGCCCCTTGATGCACTTACATCAACTCTCAGAGCTTTTGCAGGACATAATAGTCCTTTTCCAGATTCGTTGGTCCTTTTATTTTTTGTGTATTTTAGAGTACAAATTGCATATTGGATATAATTTGTGGAAAGCCATCTTCTTGTTTAAAGCTTTCTCTTCCAGTACATTTCTTGTATACAAGAGCTCTCCTTTTCTTTGGAAATAAATACTTAAAGTGGGGGGCGGAGGGATAACTGTTGTGTTTCGTTTTCATCTATGAATCTACAGTTTTTCTGTAATCTACTTGTGTTAGTGGAGTTTTTGTGGTTAGTTACTTAGCCCCTGGATCATATTTTTTGACATATGCAACTTCTGCTGTAGTTGGTAATTGTAATCTTGATCGCGTAAAACAAGGAAAAGGATAATCCTGTTGGTGTTTCTCTAGGATAACATACTTCTGTCAGTATCATAAGGATGTCTTGGGTCATTTCTATTAGTAGGTCAAAATTGTGCTAGTTGGTATTGAACAGTTAATTCCTTAAAGTTATGGATGCCATTCATATGGTCTCTGTGTGTATGTATGTTTAGGATGTTTCTTTGCTCGCTTCTATGTCACAATTGGATAAGATAGAAGTGACTATTTCAAGATGTTAAAAAGTTTTAGTCATTGCTTGGAATCAAAATGAAACAGCACCCAAATCTAGGTTATAGAAATGCGGGGAGGCTGATCAGTGGTTGTCGAGTACCCTTCACGAACGCGGGTTCTAGTTTGCGATCGCAATGCTTTAAAGCATTACTCTTCGCGATCGCAGTCCCGTTTTCGCGAACGCGATTCTCAAATCTAGACAGTTTTGGTATTTCACTTTTTTCACCCCAAAACCATTTAATACACGACCTAGCTTATTGGAAATGGATCTTTGACTTATTTTTAGTCTCTTGAGCAGAGAACACAAGTATTGGAGCTAGGGTTCTTGCACACACACTTGGGACTTGAAGATTTGAAGCTTTTGGTTGAGAATTTCTTACCCATTTATGTTCATTTCTTCATTTTCTTGCTTTGTATTGTATATCTAAGTGTGTAGTACTTTTTCCAACACTTGAATCTTGTTTATGGGAATATCCGTATTTAAAGTGTTGATTAAATACCTTGTTGTGCTTGTGTATTGAACGATTTCTGGTTATTATAAAGTGAGTTATTGTTTCTTTAATTATTCTTGTTCTTTAATGTTTTCAAAGGGATTATCGAACCCTAGGACTCGCCCATTTACTTCGAATTAATTTTGAGAAAGATAATTTGGGGTTTGGAAAGATTAATTAACAAGAACTTGAGGCGTTAACCCTCACTTTATAGATTCTACCTAGGGATAGGATTGAACTACTTGTAGCCATATTCGGACGTGCTTAATCTCTTAATTATTTTAGGGATAATTCAATTAGGAAGTCTTTTTAGTCTTCGGAAGAAGCTAATATAGAATTATTACCCGAGGCTAATTAACATAAACTCGCTCATATTTATAAAATCGTGAAATACATTGGATCGTTACTTTAGTCTAATTCCCAATGCATCCATGCTTGTAGCCATTGATCATTTTACTTGCTTTCTAGGTTAGTTTACTTTTTCGCAATTAGTTATAAATATTTTCTCAAACCCTTTCTAAGTGTTTGGCTTAGCATAATAAGTGATAATTCTCTTACACGCCTAATTACCTACATATTGTTCTCTGTGAGATTCGACCCTGACTCATAGTTGGGTAAATTATATTGTATGCGACCGTATCCATTTACTTTTTAGTAGTGGATTTGGACCGTGTCCTAAGTGTTTTACTTTCCTAAGCATAGAAACCACCTCCACAAGGCGACGATAATGGTCTACCAATATTCAACGGGAAAGACATCATGCGCCGCATTTGTAGCATCTTAACAACTCGTCGGTGCAAAATTGATTACAAGAACTCCACACTGTATAAGAATGAGTAAGAAAGAAATGAAGGCATAAGCTTCAATGGGATCAAATCGCACAACGAGGAATCAAGAAGGAAAGTGCTCCTAACAGCCCTGTAGCCTCTCGAAGATAAGTACAGACGTCTCTGTACCAATACGCAAGACTCTATTAGACTTGCTCATGACTCGTGGGACCTAAGTGAACCTAACGCTCTGATACCAAGCTTTCACGACCCAAAATATACTGTAGGCCTTGATGACGCCCAAAGTCACCGCTAGGCAAGACAACGGTGAACTACCAACTTAATTATTTATTTTATTATTTTTAAAATCATAAATATTATTTAGATAGAGAGGTCAGTGTATTAAAATAAATCATAGTTACGCAAAATTTAATTAAAATAATAAGTAAAAGCGTATCAATGTAGAACAATCCATAAACAAATTCTAGAACACCTCCAAAACCCGGTGTCACNACGCAAGACTCTATTAGACTTGCTCATGACTCGTGGGACCTAAGTGAACCTAACGCTCTGATACCAAGCTTTCACGACCCAAAATATACTGTAGGCCTTGATGACGCCCAAAGTCACCGCTAGGCAAGACAACGGTGAACTACCAACTTAATTATTTATTTTATTATTTTTAGAACATTGGCTTTACTTTGGTTCTCATCCAATACATCTTGTGATGAACCTAAACAATGTGGTTTAAGTACTCCGAATAACATTATGTGTAGAATCCAGCAAGATTAACCTATACTTTGCTATCCATTTCTAACAAAGAATAGTGGTCATTTTTTGTTGAGGTTTTGTCTTATCATAAATATTACATATCTCTTTAACATTTAATTCCGATATTATTAGTTATCTCTCTAAGCAGTATATATTAGGCTGGTTGAAGTTGTCCATCTGTGAAGTTATATGAATTCATTTCAAAAACTCTCTATTAGTCGTAAGAGAAATTAAGGGTCTGCATCTATTAACATGTAATTCTCACCTTGCATTGCAGAGGACACTGCCTTCTATTTTACTTTGAATCTTGTTAATCTCAGTTCAACAAAGTGCATTTACGCCTAGCTATTGTTCAAAAGATGCAATATTTTTGCATTCTATACTTCTTGTTTCTGGTTTGTTGGTAACAGCTGCTGGAAGATTCAGGTCTTGATTGTCGCCTTGGTGTGTACTGTGCAGTTTTGTACTTTGCCAAGATTGCAAAAAAAGATGCTTCTTTTACATTTCCATCTTTGCAGTAAGGGTTATTTGTTTATAGGAGTGTTGTCTTCTGCAGTGTATAGACTGAACCCGAGCTGAACTGCATCTCACCTATAAACACATTTTTGAGGACGATGCAGCAGCCTGTGCAGCCAAGGCCTTCTGCCAATGGATATGGCCGTCGTAAAGTTGAAAAAGAAATGGGTACTAGGTTGGAGAGTGAAGTTCAATCTGGAAAAACTACTTCCCGTCAATTTGCTGGTGTAGGTGAGAACCGCTGACTTAGAATTATCCATGATTTCTTCCCTAGGTCTAACTCCAAGTGTTCCAGGTAAAGGGGGAGCATATCAAAGCCCGTCACGTGATCGACTAATTTATTTAACTACTTGTCTTGTTGGACATCAAGTGGAAGTACAAGTGCTGGACGGATCTGTGTTTTCTGGGATACTTCATGCAGCAAACACTGAAAAAGATTCTGGTATGTTAGAATTAGAAAAATTAAATTAGACTGCAGTATTTTCTTTGGGGTATTAATTAAAGACTCAAAACATTGTTTGACATATTTTTAACTATTTTATATTAAACATCAGCTTTTTTACCTTCACCTGGCACAGGTATTATTCTGAAAATGGCCCATTTGATAAAAGATTGTACAGAGGGAATGAAGAGTACTTCTGAAACTTTTAGCAAGCCTCCATCAAAGACTCTAATAATCCCGGGTAAAGAGTTTGTGCAAGTTACAGCAAAGGTTTGTATGCAACTACTATAATTCTTTCTGGCAATTACTTTATGCACCGTCAACAAAAACAATTCTTTAAATAATCAACCAAACAAATCAGGCCACATTATATGACGGTGATGGTCTTTTCATGGAAGACCTTTATATATCATTTCTAATTAATTTTTGACTCAGATTGTTGTCACTTTTTATCATCTCTTTTTAAACTGGTACAGTAGATTTAATTATACTGATGATGCTCTATTGCTTTGGAGTAGGGTGTGCCTGTAACTTTAGATGGCTTCAGAACAGAATTCATGCTGGAAAAGCAGCAGGAACTTTTGACAGATTCATGCATTTCACAATCTCGGCATAATGAGGTAGCGCGGCAGTTGGAACGCTGGGTACCTGATGATGATGCTCCTGAATGTCCTGAACTAGAAAATATATTTGACGGCCATTGGAATAGGTTGTTAGCTCACATCATTTCCTTTGATTGTTCGTGGATTTATTTATTAGCTATTTGTAGTTCTCTATACAATAGTTAATTTGATAGTATCTCAAAGTAGTTAACCTGCGACTTATGAGCTATGATGAAATTAATAGCAAAAAATTGAGCATGTATTATCAACTTCTTATAGAATTATCCTGTGCTCTTGTGGAAACTGAGTATAAATGTGGTTAAAAGAAAAGAACTCTCTGCATACTTCTAGTGGGATGGTTATGTTGATTGTTCTTGAGCATCATATTCATATAGGCCCACAATATCTGGCATCCATGCAGATTTAGTCGAAAGTTGGACAGAATGGAACGGAAAGATCCGTATAGGTGACACACGCTAGCAGGATTAAGGCTTGGTCTTGGTGTTATGCTTACATTAGGTCCAGTGCTTTTAAGAGTCTTTTTAGTGATTTAGTCCACTTAGATATGCATGTTAGTAGGAAATATAAATTCTAGCATAGAGAACCCCAAATTTTTGAATGTTCGAATGAAATGGGTCTAAATAGAGCAAATGGATAGTGAGAATTCATATTCCAATTATTCCATTTGTGGGATTGGGGCGTAATTGTATTTTCTTGGTCCCGTCCCTCATTCTTACTTCTTACATCATTTGTCTCACTGCTTCTCTTTCTATCTGGCTCTATGTCATTTTCCTATCCGGAACATATTCCTCCTTTGTCGTTGAAGTGTTGTTTGTGCAATTTCTCCTTATAGACATCCCTTTTTCTCTAAAGCTAAGTAAATATGAATTCATTTATGCTGAACTAAGACATTGGGTTGGACTGCGCCAAACGTTAGCACTGGAAAGGTTCTTATGGTTTAATTGTTATTTTGTTTCTGAATCATATTTCAAGTCACTTCAACTGTTTTTGGAGCAGAGTATTTCTTGGTGGAAAGGGTTAATCCCTCCTGTAGCTCTTTTTTTATATCCCTCCTGTCTACATCACACCCTTGCGGTGCGGCCCTTCCTCGGACCTTGCGTGAATGCGGGATGCTTTGTGCACCGGGCTGCACTTATGTGGGTAATCAGTAATCACCAAAAGGAGGAAAAAGATGTCTTTCCCTGGTCTAAAGATCTTGTCTACTTGTTGTAGCAGATTGTTGCATGTTAATTCAGGAGGAGTGCCCCTTTCTTGTACGATACAAAATAAATTTCACTCAATTACATTACCAGTGTCCCTTTGTGTTCTATATGATGAAAGATGAATGCATAGAATGGTCTGCTTGATTTATTCTGTCTCCAACTTATTAGTAACACATGGTCTATTAGACTCTCTTTGTCCAATGTTATTACCTAATTGTAAAATTTGCATGTCTAGACAAGCCATCTTCCGATGATTTTTGTAGTTGCTTCAACTCATACACATTTACAATGTGTGTGTTTGTTAGGGGCTGGGATCAATTTGAAGCCAATGAAACACTGTTTGGAGTAAAAAGCACATTTAATGAGGAACTTTATACGACAAAGCTTGAGAAAGGTCCTCTGATGAGTGAGTTGGAAAAAGAAGCTCTAAGAATAGCTAGAGAAATTGAGGGTGAGGATACACGTGATCTTCATCTAGCAGAGGTGGGATAATTGCTTTCTTTTAATTGGAACCCTTGGTTTCTTAGAGATCTTTCCCTGATTCTTCCATTCTAATTGAGTTGCATTTTTTGGAATTTCCTCTTCATAGGAGAGAGGGATTCAACTTCATGGGAACCTAGAAGTTGATGAGGAAACCAGGTTTTCTGCAGTTGTTAGAGAGGTTGATGATAGCGGTTATGACGACTGTGAGGACATATTATTGGATTCACGTAATGACGAAACATTTCAAGGTGTATCTAGTACTATGGGCAAGTTATCTACTGACAAGAGCAGTAGGAAAATTAGTGATGGTGCACAAGTGTCATCAGGATCTTCCTCCATGGTATAAGTTTGTTCAAATACATTCATTATTCTATGGGAAAATTGTTCATATGTGGTACTGGGGCTTTTTTCCTTCTATGGGTGTATTTTGGGTTCTGTTCGTGTAACTTGTAATTTCTTATTATGAAATCCAAGGCACTAACTTATGATATGGATGACAAAAGAAGTCTATCGTCATACTTCTGCTAGTCAAATATCTCTAGCTAGTTAGAAAATATTCATTGGTTAGTTAAAGTCTACTAGTGCTGGTGAATATGAGAATTATCCATGTATTAGACCAAGCACTTTCAGAGTGAGTTATGTGGTTTAAGAGCCTATAAATGATACCTTTGCTTCTATGTACTTGATTATAGTTTGACATAAGTCTAATTATATGACGTCTTCTAGTATTTCTGTGCCTATCTTGTCTGAAGGATGAAGTGCAATCTTCCCAGTTAAGTACCAGCAGGGATCTCTATCAGATTTGTTATGATGATCATGCTAAACAGTCATCGGCTGAAATTGTTCCTAAAGGTGCCTCTATCTTAAACAGGTTTGCTATTAATCATTCCTTTCTGCCATGGTGATTCTTTTTATCCCCTTAGGCTGTGAAGTCTATATTCTGGTATCATGACTGCTATTGTTTTAATAGATAAATAGCCTTGTTAATGATCTCATTTATCATCTCTCTAACTGAAATTATCTTTTTAGGGGACTCAAAGCCCTGTTTAGTGAGCATGCTGGGGCAAATTGCAATAACGAGGATAAAAGAAATCAAATGGTTAGCTAATCTCTGACTAACATAATGCTTATTGCTTTCATTTTACTTATTAATGTTCGTCTTCTTTTGCTTGGAAATTTTTTCTTATGGTTGGTGTTCGTTGTTTCATGTAGATAACTGAAGAAGCTCAAATGTCATTACCGGAAGGTGAGCATGTCTTCTGCTGCTGGAGTAGTATCATTTTTCATGCCAACTCATGTGAATGGAATTTTTTAATTATGTTACATTGAAAATAGTGGACTCTTTGCCAACAATATTTGCAATTTTCATTTATTTTGGCTAATTTATCTCTGTAATATGTGGGGCTTTTGCCTTGTTTCACGTATTATTTGCATTATCATCAGTACTATAAAGAGCAAAAAATATTTGGAATAACAGTTTTTTTTGGTGGGGTGGGGNGGCTGGATTGAATACTCCAACGGCCTCTTTAACACCCTCATACTAGAATTTCTAAAAATATTGATGTGTCAAACAGGTGATGGCACAATTAGTTCCTCGTCAATTGACCTCCAGTAACTTTTTAGATATTAACGTATGGTATTCCAAGATGCTAAAATATACTCAGGCATAAAAGCAAGCAGCTACATAATTGCAAGTGAAGGAACCAGAACTTTTAGCTTTTAAAAGAAATGGGTTAGAAAATTTTACGATAAAACTTTCTCAAAATGGTAATCTGTGGCAAAGCGACAATGGAGGCTTTTTTATTAAGGGAAAAAATGGAGGTTATCTTTTGCAATTAAAATGCAAGTTTTGCAACAGAATTAGTGAAGTTACCTTTAATAATGATACATACCTTAAGATGTTAAAGGTACATTTTGGCATAAAAGAAAGTAACCAGTTGTACACAAAGAAAAGCGAAATTTGACCTGTTAAAAGAAAGAACAGAGATCTTTAATAATTGAACTTTCTTGAAATGGTAACTTGTGCAAGGAAACAGGTTATTTGTGCGTTTGGAATTCTGTAGAAGTGTGAAATACCAGTAAAACATGATGCATATTGCATACCTTGCTCTTGTAAAACTGTAAGCTTTTGGATCCACCTGATAAATTCTGGCTGTCGCAATGGCTCATTATCAAGTTTCAAGCCCCTAATTCAAAATGCAAAATGTACACTATATATAGATGGAGGTTACTGACTGTATAACTACAAAATCTTTCTTCTTTTTTTTT